GTTGTATCAAAAATACGTTTTTCATCTAACAATCAGCAACCCGGTTGTAATTAAAATGGCCCAACATAAATGGTCCAACCAACGCAAGATTTAGCGAGGCAGCCCAAAACCTTTAACAAATACGAATTTATATACTTTTTATAAATCGTGTTTGTTTTTTTCTTTTTGCTTTTTTACTAGTTTCGCTCGGAATTGTACGTAGTAATTCAGTTCATCAGTTTTACTATTTGACACCCAGTTCATGTAGCTTAATTCAAGCTGCCTTGCTTTGTTATCCTCGATTGACAGTATTTTATATTGTAGATGCATGGTTAAAACTTCCAGCTATATGCCTGTTTTCCTTGGAGAGGCCAGACATGGGCATACTTTTGGCAGTTTGGATTGGACTAGAGATGTCAAACGAGCTGAGCGGTTCATTGGCTCGTAAAAATCGGCTCGGGATCGGGAAGCAAAAGAAGAAAAAATAAGCAAAATGTTGGGATCACTTAAAATTGATTTCAATGGGTCGTGTGGTCGATGGAGTCATAAAGTCTAAAGCAGTATATTAATACTGTCAACAACGATTGGCATGGCAAAAGAATATTGATAACACCCGCCTTAACTATCACTATAAAACATGTGTGGCCAAACACAAGCTTCTTGCACACTACTAAAAATCAGCTTTTTACCTACGGATTGCTAAAAATTAGCTTTTCACCTACAGATAATCACCAACGGATACAATCTGTTGGTGATTAGAAACATATTATCTATTGATAAAAGTATTAGACTTTCAAATACAAAAATCACAAATGAAATTTTTGTTGATAAAAGTGGTAGCTCTTTATCAATGAATATTTCGTGCCTAATGTTATTGTTTAATATACGTATCATTTACCAATAGCATTTTCGTAGGTGACGTATTTCAACCTTTTTTTTTTTTCTAAAAATTGTATCAACCTTTCACCTATGAATTTTTCGTGAGTAAAGAGTAGTTCATATTACTAAAGGAAATGTCATTGCTACTATTAATAAATTTCAAAGAAATTCTTATCCCACATCGGAAGTTCACAATAAAGTCTTTGGAGTTGCCATCTATAAATTTGTGGTTTAATAAGTGGTTAAACAAGTTTTTGGGCCTTTCAACTCAGTTAGTAAAAGTTAAAATATTATAATTATTAAATAAATAATAATAACAATAATAAAAAGTAAATAAATAATTTTTTTACCATGTCTCACACCTATGTGACTAATTACAATATTGGTTTTTACCAATTGCAATGGTAGACATTTACCAACGGAAAGTCGATTGGTAATGGTTAAGATTTTTACCAATGGAAATTTCGTTGGTAGAAGGTTTGTACTCTTCACCAACAAAAAATTCGTTGGTAAAATGTTTACTCTTTACTTACGGTGCGATCCAGTGGTAACTATCAACGACTCCCTAAATCAACAAGGATTTGTGGTTGCTAATATTCCATTAATAAAGAGTAATAGCAACTGATATTGTGATTTCAAAAATGGAAAATCCGAGCCTGAAGCCATTTTTATGTAGCGTTGGTGCCTTTCAAACGCAACTACAATTTGGTAATCCAATTGTTAGTTCTGCTTCTACGACACTTTGCACAAAAAATGTGTTTAGTGGAGAGAGTTTGAACGGGAATAAACTACTGAGTTGCCTCTAGTAATAGTGGACAACCAACATTTCGTCTCCTATGTGAAAAAATACCTTCAACCGAGGTATGTTGGGTAAGCAGAAACACTATTCGTTCCGATACAATGAAATATTTCCTTAATAGGAAGAAACAATCTATTATCGATTTACAAAAATATGGAGGTGGCATATCTTTAATTTTGGATTTATGGGAATAGATTAATAAACGAGGTTATATAACGGCAATTGCACACTACATGAACCCACTTTGGTGTAAGTATAAAAAAATTAGTAAGTTCCCTTACAACGCTAACAATATATTTAATTCTATTATGAGCATTATTAGAGAACATCATTGCGAGAGAAATATTTGTTCTTTTACATTTGACAATGCTAGTATTAGTAAGCTAGTTATCGATATATTGTTTAGGGTACTATAGCCAATTTCGTGGTTATTTATTTCATATTTGTTGTGTGTATCATAATTTTAATTTAATTATGCAGGATTGTTTGAAACATATTAAGAATGAAGTTCGAAGAATTAGGGATGAATTAATATATATTATGATTTTACCTAGTAGAAAATAAGCTTTTGAAGAATTTTGTGTCGAACTTGGGGTGAGGAATATGAAAACATTTTTTAGTAAAGTAGGATAAAGATAGAACTCCACTTATTAATTACTAAAAATCATACAAAGGATTTGAACATTTAATAACTGAATTTTATAACAATAAGCATATAAAAACGATAATGACACTATTTTGAATAAATCTAATTGTATTTTAGCTTTTAAAATTAAAAAAAAAAAAATTTGACAAATTTTTATGACTTTGTAAATATTTTTTAGAGTATATTATCCTACTAGTTGTATGATGCTTGAATGTTTTTATATAATTGTAAGGGCTTTCATAAATAAAGAATGATCTCTATTTTATTGAAATTATATATTCTATGGAATTAAAGGTGAGAATATTGGAAAGACTTGCTTATGTTATTTTCCTTAGCATGTTCATTGACTGCGATACAATTTATCAGGTACTAAATTTGTAATTGATCAGACTTCAAAAGTTTTAACTTTTTATAATACAATCACTTGTAGAAATGTAGAAATTTTTTTATATGAAATATATGCAGGACGAATGGGTGCAAATATTAGTCAGGTATCCTTTGCACCTACTCCTTCGCTGATATCGAAGAAGATGATGCTGAAATACTAAATTTATTTGAAGGCATTAATATGTATATATATAATGCAATATGTTATTTTAGTAGTAGTATGTCCATCGCATGTAATCAAACATTAGACACATATCCAAATGCATTACCTTTTGAATTACTTGATTGCTTTAATTATAATATGCCTAATAATAAATCAATTGTCAAACAAAATTACAAAAGACTATGGCCAGTGGTTGGTAAAAGACCTATTAACACCTACGGTTAACACTATAGCTTCGGAATTTACTTTTAGTGGGGGTAAGAGTGTTCTGTTCGAGGTTAGGTGCCGATTAAAAAAAGATATTTTGGAAGCATTAATGTGCATAAAGAATTAATATGACGCTCATTTTCAACTGCAAGATAAATATACCGAAATTGTATGTCGTCGATTAAGTAATATTTAATTTAACTATATTAATAAAATTTGTTATTTTTATACAAAAATTATACTCGAAACAAGTTGTCTGTGTCTAATTTTTAACTCCATCCACTCGAAATTTAAGTAGTCGGTCCCAAATCTCGATAAAGAAGGAGGATTTTATCTATATAACAAAAGAAAAGCCCGCGAGCTGAGCTTGGGCCTCGAAGAAGCTTGGTCTGTTCCAAACGAGCCACGAACACGACTCGTGGCAAGCACGAGCAAGAGTCGAGCTCGTGAGCAATGAGCCTATCAGAGCATGTTTGGTCC